TAGCTACTTTTCCAAAGACGTTACTTTTTATTCCACGCACATTAGGTAAATGTAAATTAATTGCAACTACATATTTATTGAACAAACATTTAAACAAAAAATGTCAGTATTGTATCATTGACTATATACCTAGGTATATATAGTCAATGATTGTGTCTAACATTACTTGGAAAACAAATTATTCCTAGATTGTATTTAATTTGTTGGCATTATATACCTAACATTAAAACAACAGAACCAAATAGTTGGGTTTCCCATCATATTTAGTACTTATTTTAAAATATTGCATTATTTTTAAGCATCTTATATGTAAATTTCAATAAGTTCAAAGGACATAGGCCTACAACCAAACTATATTTTAAAAGCTCATTTTATTTCTTTAATATAGATTCATTTATAGATGTCTTGTATAAACAATTAAGACCAATAAAACTGTAAAACGATTATTTAAAAATACTTGTTGGTGTTACAGAGCCTAAGTTAGCCTACTGAAATTGGAGTTTATTGCCTTTCTTAACTTTTAATGTTAAAAACGACATTGTTATAACTTTTAACCATAGTGATAAGTTACTTGTTCTATGAATAACACTTTTCAATGTCAAGAAATCGTCCTTTATTGTCATTATGCATAGGGCACATTGCAAATTGTGCTTCAACCTAGTTGGTACAGAAAACAGTATTCAGCAACTTATCCTGAAATCGGCTTTTAATTTAAACATGTGGAAATTTGTAAAGTAAAAATAACATATAGGCCTACTTGGCTATGTAACAAGTTGGCTATAGTAGGCTTGTTCTTGCAAGGACTAAACAGATGAGATATATTCCTAATAATTAATTGAACTTGGAACTTGGTATTCGTCTTAAACCATAGCATAGCCTAGGAATAGTCCTATACAAGAGCTGTTAGCAGGAGCAAACTATGCTATTTTTTCAAGTTTCATGTTATATGGAGATTTTTTCGTCACAATTATCATTTAGTCTAGGCATATCTTAAATCACATCAGGTAATTTCTTCTTTGTTAATTTAGTAAACCTTTGAAAAATCTTCGTAATCTAACCAAGGAAGGGCTTGTGATGATGAACCACAATCAACAGCTGAAGCAAAGGTTGATAGACCAGCTTTCTCATTATTTTAAGGTTTAGTGTTGGTTTCCATTAACACCCAAGTTGAAACACTATCGACATAGTAAAGAAACTAAATTTATTACTAATTTCCCTGTCAATCACTTGCAAGCATTCAATAGCTTCTCGTCACCGCCCACCGGTAACGTTTAAAAGTCGTCTGCATCTAGTGGTTTTATTTAATCTGACAGTAATCATAGAGTAGTAAATTAAGGAAATGAGAGCCAAAAATGTGGATAACACTCATTTAATGGCCTCCATGTCCACACAACGTTGTATAGGGAATGAAACGGCTGCAACCAGCTGTATGAAGGGTGGGCAGATTTTCCCATCCTTGTTAGTCAGTCGTGACGTCATCGTTGATTCGATCGATTCGGGAAGTCGATGTAGTTCTAAATATCGTCTATCGATATTTGATCGTTATTCGCGTCGAATTCGGACGTTAACATAACATCATGGTTATTGGTTATGGTTGTAGGTTGTTATTAATGTAGGTTTAGGTTGTTTCTCTACAATCTGAATCTATGAATATGAAGTATGATTCTGATAGTCAGAGTAGAAAACCCTTTTAAACTAAAGCTATAGAACGGTCTGTAATTTAAATTTACCGCTCATACGCAAATCTAATTGTATTATCGGTAAAAGGGAGCTTATAACCAAGTTGGACTTGGCTTGTGGCCAAGTAAAAGATATAATAAACAAGAACTTAAAGCTATTATACAGGTTATGGCCAAAATCCGTACGCCCACAACTATGTTTTCGGTAATTTTAATTATGTAAGGGCAACTACATACCTAGAAAAAACTATCTTCGTAATTTTTAATGGAACATAATTTCGGGGATCTTTAACAAGATTGGACTTTATTTTACTGATTTTCATTCAACAATGTAGGACTTATTTAAGTAAAGCTAACTTATTAAAATGTATTTAAGTTAGTATGGGTATTTTATGTTTGGCATTACCTAGCTTAAGATTTATGAAACTCATTAAGTTGTACATATAAAAACTATTATCTGTTAAGTTGGTTATTTCAAATGCTTAATTTAGACGTAGGCCAAAAATAACATAACAGTCTGATTGAACACCAAGAATCAGAATCAGAATGTTTTTATTGTCCTTCAGCATTACAATCATGCAATAGACAAAGTCAAGGTTTGATACAAGAGGCTATGTAGCCTACTTTGCAAGTCCTAGGTCCTATTATTTTGGCAATAATCCCCTTTATAATTCAAAGGCATGGCATCAAAATAGCAATGAACAAATTTGCTATACGTAGATACTTCGGTTTCTTGCAATTTTAGTAGAAATTGGTCGTATGTAACAAAGTTATGTATGTACAAAGTGTAATTTCGATTCCACTTGATCACCATCATTATTATCTTCTGTTGCCTCCATTTAAAATCCTCTAATAGGCCTAGGCCTAAGTTAATACTTAAGTCATATAAATATAAAAATGTATAAATTTAAGTTAAACTAGGCCTATCCAGAAAACAACTTCTCGTAAGTTAAGTACGGGTATAAATTAAAATTGAAAATTAGACTAGTGAGTTATATCTGAAAACAAGATTAACAACTTTTCTTTCGTTACGCTTGTCGACATTACATTACATGTAATCCAACCAAACAAAAACAAAGAAAGAACCAAGAATCTAGAGTCCTGAACCTAACCAAGATTCGAGAAAGAAGATGGAAGCGTTTCGTTTCAGCGATTCGATTCTCTAAGTAAGTTGTAAATTAGGGGTATTCGATATCGACTATTGACTTGTGGAGCTATGCGATACCAGTACGATAGTTGCATCGCATCAACGATGACGTCACGACTGACTAACAAGGATGGGAAAATCTGCCCACCTGTATGAAGCCAAGAAAGTAGGCCTAATTTTTTTGAAAATCTCAGTTTGAAAGGTTTCACGTAAGGTTGAGGTTATGATAAAACTCACTATCTCAAACAATGTTAATGTAGCGAGAAAAGTAGCTAAAATTCCGCTACAACTACTTTAAAAATGTAGCTAGCTACAGCTAAAGCTACAAAATCTTAAAAGTAGCGTAGCTACAGCTAACGCTACAAAAAAAGTAGCGCGCTACTGTAGCGTCGCTACTTGTAGCGCGCTACTTCCCAACACTGGTAAAACTATAGCCAATACAAATCTGTAACAGGAAAACAGCTGACAAGTAACAACAGTGTTGTATGAACATTTTACAATCTCTAAAGGTTTTACAGAAATTTTGAAAAAAAAAACTTTTTGCCACACTACATTGTTTTAGCCATTTTACAAACGTTTATTGGAGGCCGAAAGCTACTTATTGCTGTCCATGCCAGCTGCCTTTGTCATTTGGAGGCCAAGCAGGTGTTTACATCCCCAAAGCCGAGAATCAGCTACTTAGCTTATTTTCTTTAAACAATAATGCATATTAAATACACAATCAGTATCCATAGCATTGCAAAAGACTTGTTTTATTGTCACCGCTGCCTAGAACGTTTGCTACCGCAATAGTAAAAAGATTTTCCCTTATATGGACCAGCGACGCATATATGTGACACTCGGTAGTGAACATGTTACAGTATAACCTTGATAACAAGACTCTCATGGAGATTATTATATAAGACGTGTTATCAAGGTTGACTTCTTATTGAGGTTAGCAATAACATTTGATAAAGGGTAAAATAAATTCAAGGGGATTTAAAAATTACACTTGTTATCAAGGGTGACTTATTAAGGGTCTTCTTATAAGGGTTCCACTGCAGTAACTATTTATTATGTTTGCCGATTCCTCAAATTATTTCTTCACATAACCTTAATGTTATAGTTGTGTTGACTGTTAGTGTGCATTATTATTGTCGTGATATTTTAATTTTTTTATTTTACAATCGGTTTAGATTTGTGAACAATTAGTAAAAGGCATAATATAAGTAAATGACTTAAGCAAGAATCTCTCCAGTGATAGATCTTGCAAAAATAGTCATGTCAAGTAACTAAAACTAAACAAATCAGTATGCCAGTTCAAGCACTTTTATAGTTTCCAGTCTATTGATAAATTCACTGTTGTCCAGCAATGGTAAATAGTGGTAATAGGGTATAGTGTGGTGAAAAATGAGCGTCCGTACCACGGGCCCAAATTGTTTTGCAGCTCTCGATCTTTTTAAGTTCTCGATTTCGTCTCAAACTGAAAAACTAGTCCGAGCCGGCCATTTCTCATTTTTGGCCCTAGGTACGAAACATAAATATTTCAGTACCTACCTTAACCTTATTAATGTTTATGTTTCTCACGAGTTCCAATTATCAAGGTTATCATAGTGTTGTCGCAAAGAAAAGAATTTAGTTATAAAAAAAAGTACAAAACTACCTAGAAGGACAGTTAAAAGTAAATTAGTGCTAATTTTTAATTGACATCATGGAATATGAAATGGGCTTTACTAATTATTATTGTTTAGAAAAAAAAAATTATTGGTAGTGTGTTAAGATAATCCATTTAAGGTTATCATACAATTAGATAAACTTTAAAGTATTATTTAAATTTGTCTTTTGTCCATGCACACAGACTTAAAGATCTTTTGAAAAATAATCCAATATGTGGGAAATTTTTTCTTTACAATTGGGTAAACGAGAGAAAAGAAGCTAAATAAATATGTTTTAAAACCTAAATTATTATTTAATCAACCATGTATATTATTCCATGGAAATGTTTTCCACTAATAATTTTTTAAATTACACAGACCTACTTTTCATTTAGTTGTGTTGTGCATATTCATTGTTGAGTTATGTTTGCTAGGTATTTCAAATGTTTGTGTCGTAGATAGTTGTAACATTGGGTAAGGGTATAAATGAAGATGTTTTCGATAGAATTTGATTTGAGTTCACCTATTTTCCTCCTATAGGGTGTGTGCCATCCCCATACTCCTGTGGACTACTTCGGGAACCCCATTGGTTCCCAACAGACCAGCCCCTGCTGGGGCAGCCCCCCGGGCGCACAAAATCAAGTGTCCACATGCCCCTTGGAGTACAACGACCTGGGCGAACTGCGAAGAAACAGGGCACCACCAGGGACATTTTCCGGCATAGGTTTGAAACTAGGATAGATGTAAAATATCTATTACTTTTGTAGCTAAAATCTGTAATACCGGACAAAAAAGGATGGTGTGGTTTTATTATACAGGCCTGCACTTAATTTGTGGAGATTTTTTGTTGGGTACAAAAGTCCTACATAAAGGAATTACCATTTTCATTTAGTAAGAATGGAAAGGGTTTATTTAGTACATTAAATATTTAACAGGTCAATGACTATGTAATGTGAGTTTATTTAATAACCTTACTTTTGTTATCAAATATTGAATAACTAACTAAGTGCAACAAACAATGGTCAAACACTGGAAAATAAAAACAGTAAAAACCAAGTTGTGACAGTATGTAAAATTATTTACAAAAAATGTGTTTTACTAATTTAAAAAGTATTTATTTAATTTATTTATAATTTAATTTTATATATTGGAATTGAATAACTTCTTGATCAGCATCGTACGTGTTATTAAATTACCTTAAAAAACAAAAAGATATAGGTCTAATAACATTAGACGTATATCTTTTTTGTTTTTTCAGATATTGGAATTGTAAAGTTGTGTTGAGAAAGATAGTTTATGTTCAAAATATTAGGTTTTTCTGTCAGATTATTTTAAAAATCTACCATTCCCTGTCTAAGCATCAGTTTCTTAAATAAAACTTTTTGGTGACACGTTCATGTTTTATGTACACATAAATCTTCGCCTTGCTCACAATTATTTAGTAGTTCAAGAGTGTCTCAGATCTTGACTGATCTGAAGTACTGTGGTTGTTTATTGTGCTAAACTCTCTGCTTTGCTATGTAATGCAGATCTGGTAGACTGCCCTGGTATGGGGTTTCCAGTACCCAAGGCAGCTCTAGACAGAGGAGGCAGACTACCTGGACAGACTGTACCTTTGACTCCGCCACCGCCACCCCCTCCACACATGGGGAGATTCACACCCCTCGCCATCAGTTCGCCTGTAAGTAGAAGACAATCATATTTTAGAAACACATAAAAAGTTATTTACTATACATTGAATGATGCCTGTTGAAAATCGTACGCACCATGCCTGTCCGAGGGTGCAGCGCACACGTTCACCCGCACCTTTAAATACAAATGTAAATAACTGGCTAAGACTGCCCTGAGAACGTTCAGTATAGTGTAGCAGTGGTAGAAACCTAACCTCAAACTTGTGCAATAAGTTTTTGTTCGGTTTTTTTGCTGTATCTTTTGTTGGTATACCCGGGTACTTCGCCCCTGTTTTTCCCCTGAGTTTGGAAATACTACGGGCGTGTTAGCAATTTTGTTCAGTGCTGCTGTCTGTTAGTTTTTTGTCGAACTACGTCCACAACTACTGGAACACAGTACATGCTGTATTGTGCCGTTCCTGTTGGATGAAACTACATTTAAACATTTTTGCACACTTATCCACGCAGTACAAGTGGCCGTTCCCGCACCCGGTCGCAGACGGCCATCTTGCAACTGCAGCAAACATGTTAACACAAAAAAAATAATGACATGATGCAAACAAACAATGTACTGATTAGCTATTATTTAAGGAAGAATTGTTAATGAATTAGTAATATTCTAGGCTAAAGAGAATACATTTGGCTGCTTAGGGATATTTTTGAATAGGGAAAGAGTTGAGCTAGCTTACCTGAAAAAAAATACAGTCCAGGGAATAAGTAATACACATTAGAAGAGCACAAACATATAACACTAAGATTTCGTCCTTTTACAGGACTTCTTTGAAGAGTAGATTACTAATTATTGATTACTGTATTGGATTTGCTTATGCTTATGCTTGGCCTCGGGCCTGTGCTTAGGACATATCAAACAGAGAGTAAGGGGTTAGCCGATAATACAGGACAGTGAATGAACTGCACTGATATTAGTGGTGACCTCAAACACCCACTAGTGGTGTCCATGACATCACTGTCATTAATTCATCATCTATTGCACTACCAACTGAACCACTAACTCACCAATGCTAATGACTAAACGGTAGGGTAATTATTTTATTTATTATTGAGCTGTTGTCTATGAACTATTAATACCAAATATTTCGTTCTTCAGGTGAAAGGAGATCCAGGAGTGTTAAGACCTCGTCAGCCAGTTACTCCTTTACCTCCGAATCCACTGGTAATATTTTACATTTATCTCGTTAGATTTTTTTTAAATATCGTTGTGTTGTATTGTTGTAATTTTTTTTTATTAGTAAAGTAAATCGAGGATCCTCAGGATGAATAAAAGTTTAGGGCTTAAAGCTGTAAGACAATTGAAAACAGAAACTAGTATTTTTAAATGTACTAAATGTATTTAGTTATCTTCCACCTATCAAATTTAAATTTAAATTCAAATATATCTATTCAAGATATTAACTGCTTGGCCACGCCAAGTTTACAAAACTTATCAGCAAGTGCAGTTGATGTACAAACACACTATACAGTTTTTTTCCTCTTTTTAAGTATGAATTTATATCAACTTACTAGTTTTAAGGCGGTTTGTGGTTCACTTATCTTTAAACTGAGTATACGGCAGCAAAACTTTAATTATCAATTACTCCATTCATTAATCATAAAAAATGAGAATTGTGAGTTGGTTTTACAAACATCTTAATCCTTTATATATATGAAATTCACTTACTCTTACTCTTACTCCCATGGCCATGGATATCCTAGGTGGTATTTTGCCTCAACAACATGTTGCCTCCATCTCTCCCTGTTCTCTGAATTTTCTTTCCTTGCTCCTAATTTTCGAAAATCTTTCTCCACCAGGTCCTTCCATAGATTCTTTGGTCTTTCTCGGGGTCTTTTCCTGCTGGGTTTTGTCTCCAAACTTCTTTAATTAGTGTGCCATTCCCTCCTAAATACATGCCCAGCCCACCTTAGTTTTCCGCTCTTTGCTTCTCCTACTATGTCTGGGGAATGGTACATGTCCCTTATTTCTTGGTTGTGCCTAATTCTCCATCCTTCTCCCTCTCTAACAGGTCCAAATATTTCTCTCAAAACTCTGTTATTAAATGAAACCAACTTCTTTTCTGTTTGTTTGTGTATAATCCATGTCTCTGCTCCATAAAGCAGGATTGGTCTTACGATAGTCTTGCACACTCTTAATTTTGTTGTATGTGACAGTATTTTTATTAAAAAATTTTGTTTAATGCCATGCTTCTATCTGCCAAATTTATTCTATTTTGAATTTCTATTGATCCATTAGTTTTTGAATTAACTATTGAACCCAGGTATTTGAACTCACCAACTTAATTGAATTTATGGGTTTAAGACTTCAAAGGTTTTGGAAATTTGTTTGGCCAAATATGTGAAATTTACATTATGAAAATACAAATTTGAAGTTTTAAAAATGTTTGCCATGCAATATTCACTATCTCAATCTCAAATCAATGTGTTGCATTGCTTGAAGAATTCAATCTGTAAATCCTGATATACCTAATGGCCTTCAGACAACTCATAGATATAAAATAACATTCAGTGAAGGTTTCAATTTAAATTTAATGACAATGTCTTAAAAAACAATAAAATTAAATTAGACTCAAACCCATTATGGTCCTAAAAAATAGTTATCTATATATCTAATTCTGTAAGCCCAAAATTTTACAATGAAATTGTGAGTGAACGGGAGGCCGTAGAAAGCTGGGAGAGGTCTCATTTTAAAGGTCTGGGCATGAAATTTTGGGGAAAATTAGCCATTTTCCTTAATTATGCACCAAAAGGTTATTACGGAATAAATTAATTCTCATTTAAATAGCATGGGAATCCAAGGTCATGTCTGCTTTGTTTACTTTAAAACATGTGGTTTAACTTTATTTAAAGCATATGGTAATTTGTAATATGTACTGTAATATGTATACTACTGTATTATAAAGCTGAAATAGACTTTTTTACAATTTTAAGGATCTGAATCAGTTAGTTAATGGAGTACGATTGGTTGTGTTAAGTATGTCTGAAAAAAGTTAGAAGGAATTACTGGAGTAGGCAAAGGGAACATATTTTTGATGCCAAAATAAAACTAATATCTACAGATGCTAATATATGCCGTTTAAGTTTACAAGGATTCAATTCCCATTGTGATTAGCTCTCGCTATTCTATATAAAGCGCAAGGCCAAACCTTCACAAAAGTTGGCATTTATTTGGAAAAAAACCAATGTTTACCCAGTGGCCAGCTTTATGTTGCTTTTAGCTGGGTAAAGCGGCCAGATGATGTTAAAATACTACCAAATAAAGACCAAGGAATCTACTTTAATATGGATACTGTAAAACAGAGAGTTTTTGCATTTTACAATTTGGAGGATGACATTATCTCTATGTGTTTTTTCGAAGTGAATTTGTCTATATTCAACGAAATTTATATGTATTTAATTAATAGTCATAAAGATTAATATTGAAAATGTTCTTTAGTTGTATTACGATTAGAAAGTTTAAATTATAAACACACCGCATAAACAGTCCTTTGGAATTTTTATTTTAAACAGAGCAGACATCAAAATGCTTAATGCAGCTATGTAATAACTATCATACATATTAGGCTATAATATATAAAAATGTTAAACAATTATTCAAGTTAGGGTAACCCATGAGACTAATAATTTGTACAAAATAATTACTAGAATATTATAGGGGCCAGTGCCCCTACAAGCCACTAGTTTATTTATACTTTCATAGTTTCAATTAAATTTCTTCACACATTTTAAGTGTTTACTAGAGTTTAATCTACTATATAATCATTAAAACAGTTCTTGTATCCAATTTTTTTCAGGGTGAGCAACCGATGGACCCAGCTCTTCTTCCTAAGGTAGGTTTCAATCAATTTATAACACGAAAAACTAGATTACATTCCCAACCGCCAATGAAATGTCTTCAAAAATTTTTATTACTAGAAATGTTATAAGTTGATCCAGTTCCTATTTTCAGATTCAAGAAGATCTGCAAAAGTTAGCGGAGAGGAATAAGAACTTGCAAGAGCTTGTCAACAACTTTAAGAGGATTCGTGCAACACTGACTGATGCGATTGATAAAGCAGTGAAACTCAACCAAAAACTGCAAAGGGATCTGGTGCGTTTCTTGTTTATTGATATACTCAATTGTATTTTAAACCAGCTAAATGTGGGGCTTGTTAAGCTGTACAAAGATTTCTCCATCAAATTCCAAACAATAATAACAAATAATAACGGTACAATATTAATTTAATGTGGTGTGGTTATAAAATTAGCTAATAACTTAAACCACAAAAAAATCAATGCTCTGTTTATCAATTTCAATTGAGTTGAATATCAGTTTAAATCAGGTGTTACCATTTCATTTGGAAAGTTTTCGATGATTCCATTTTAGTTATTTTAGTCAAAGCTAACCTTAGGCCTGTGTGAACAGTGCGACCGCACAGGACCCCACGCCTCGGAAGGCAAAACATAAAAAAGTTTTGAAAACCTGTGAATTTTACGTGAATAATCACTGTTTCTCCCCATTTTATTCTGTCATGTTGAGTAAAAAATTGCGGTTGCAGAATGTGATCACAATGTTACTCTATTTACAGGAGTTGTAGATTGTAAGATATTACCAAGGTGTATGGCAAGAGATGATTTTGACTAATGTTAGGAAAAAACTGTATAGCAGATTATCATGGTTGTTGAAGCGATTCAAGAAATCTTCACAAATTCTGCCATGATCATTGAAATTTACAGGAAATAATTTTAACTTCTTTGTTATCCTTGCAAGTAGGTACAGTACTTTCAATCATACAAAAAAAATTGTTTGTGGTACTTGTAAAATAAAAATACTACTCTGGTGAAAATTTGAATAAATTTATTGAGTAAATTTTACTTCAACCATCACTATCAAATTGTAAACGTTGGTTATTCAAACTTAAACCTCCAATCACAGTTATTCTGTGTCTACATGAATAAAAAAAATTGATAACATCTACACAATAAAACATAGCACATATAAAATACTCACTACTCAGTCTTCTGCACTTCAACTTCATAAAGTATGCAACTATCGTACCAAAGTATACATATAATCACTCTGGTTTGAAAATTATAAAAACAAAAGTGTAACAAAAGTTCTTTTCATGTATACATTATTAAGGATCTTATAAAAAAATTATGATTGAAATCTAAGAAAATCTCAAATACTTTAACAATGTTTGATTAACCATCAAACATTTAATTTAATTTTTGTGTACAACATTCAACATTTATTCTGAGTTGGATACTGAATGTTGTATTAATAGTCAAAGATACTGATTACTAGGCCTATAATACTAAAAATACTTTACAGTACTATGTAGCTGAGGCACACCGATAGTACCAGGGGCTGAAAACATTGAATGTAAGTGCTCCTTCTTTATACTTGTATTATCTTAGCAAAGTATTTTAGCGTTATTTAAACATTAAAACTCTTTTCAAGTTTCTTAAAAGCTATACAATAATAATGATTCAAATTTGTTTACGCTCTTGTAGAAATCCCTATTAATATAAACATATCCATACAGTTAATATTTTGTGTGAGCTTGTTATAATGTTTTAAGCTATTATTTTAAAACGTTTTTATTAGATCGCTTTCTTGTCCGGTACAAATTTTGCAATCAATTTTATACTAACTTCGGGATGAGCTAGAGACTTAAACTTGAAACATAGCTCACAAATAGAAGACAATTTAATATTATATCATTTAATTTTTATATTTCCCTTTTAGGCTACGCCCCATGGGCTTGTTTTTATAAACTCGCTTTCTTGCAAATTTTGATACTTCCCGATGAGCTAGAGACTTGAAACTTGAAACATAGCTCACAAATGGATGACAATGCAATATTATATAATTTAATTTTCATATTTCCCTTGGGCTACGCCCCATGGGCTTCCAAATTTTCCATGTTTACATATTGAAAGAATGTAAATATATCAATTAATTTAAGTCAGCTGTAAATATTTAAATTTTACAGTTCAAAGAGCAGAGGTTAGGAGGTACAGGTTATGCTCCCAAGAGATTCTTTATACAAAAAACATTTCAAAATAAAGACAAACAATCTGATTGCAGATATAAAGGTGTTTGTTAATAATGTCAATTGTTATTTATTTAGTATTCTATAAAGTAAACAATAAATTAAATAGATTGATATATTTATAGTTAGTAGGTAGGCTATACATTCAATCTAATACATAATTATATGAAAAGAAACTCAAGTAAACCTTACATTTCCCACATGCCTCTGTCTTAATCTGATATAGATGCTTGAAATAGATTTAACATCCACACACATTAAACACTAAAAAGTAGAAAATAATTTATAAATAAAAACTTTTTTTAAAACAAAACGTTTTCAAACACACTAAAAAGTAGAAAATAATTTATAAATATGTGGAGAGTATAAATACTTGTAAGATTTAAAACGAAAAACGTGGGGTGCATGCTATTGATAAACATTAGTTCAATAGGTGAAGGTAATTGTAAATTATCTATTGCATGCACCCCACGTTTTTTCGTTTGGAATCTTACAAGTATTTATACTCTCCACATATTTATAAACTATTTTTTACTTTTTAGTGCGTTTAAAACGTTTTGTTTTAAAAAAGTTTTTTTTTTATAAATTATTTTATATTAGCCTAAATATTTAGTTTAAAATGTATGTAATGGATATACTTTTGAAAAATGTAATTGATTTGTTACAGGTACAGGACTTAATTTGATTGAACGTAAATACTCAGAACTAATCATGAATGTAAACAATTAATAAATGATTTCAATGCATGTTGTTAATTTCATTAAAGAATATTGAAGGTCTCCAGCACACACAAGAGCTATTCAAAAAGTAAAGAACTTTTGGAATAAAATATAAATATTGCATGGTCAAAAAAAAGTTGTATTATAAGAGACTACTAAGTTTTTAAAATAGCAACTAAAATACTACATTTCTACCTAGTTGCCAAACAAATTGAGGCACTTATGACAGTATTGGGGCTAAATTTGATATTTCTTTGTCATAAAAATCTGCCTCCTGTAAGCTTAGCCACCCAGTGACTCGCCGTCAACAATGTGCTGTGCTGCTAAACAAGAATTCATTTTGAGAAAAAGTGTAAGACATTTGTAGCAAAGTGTGGGCTGTATAGTTGCTAGTGAAAACCCCCCATATGAATGAAGCAAAGAGATTTTGTGTCATTTGCTTTATGAGGGTGGTCATTGTCATAAAAACAAATTTTTAGTCATTAACTTTATTTAGACTATTTTGAAACTAAATCTCCATCTTTTCCATCTTTTCAAAAAAACATTAATTGACTACATTGTTTTTTTATACTTCACACTTGACTTACGCAGGCCCACTTTTATAAACGAGCAGACTGGGCATTTGCCCAGGGGCAAATTGCTGGAGGTTTGGGGGTGCCCACCGGGTGCCCTTCAATCACTGCCCGCCCGCACCGGGGAAAAAGGGGGCGCTGCTTTTGAGTTTGCCCAGGGCTCCACTGACACTTAGCACGGCCCTGGACTTACGTCAATAAATTTAATTACATTTAAGTCAATGGCAAACAAAAAACATATTATAGACTGCACCTTACCACTTGAGGTATTTTCAACTGTAGCACTAATTTTGATAGCTCGCGCTTGTTGGCGTCAGATGGGAACGTTCCTAGCTTTCTGAATAGCCCTCTTAATTAAGCCTTATTTAAGACTTTGCTGGTAATATTTGACTTTTTCGACCAATAAAAAGTTTATACAACAACAAATGTGAGGATATAGCCTAATTACGGAAAGTAAATAAAAGATACGTCTTATAACACTTAAAACTCATATATTTACACTTATACTGTTACTCACAAGACGGTAAATATACAAAAAAGATGGTAAGTGGTGATCGATTTCGATTGGACACTCCAATCATCATCAGACCCAATAGGCGAATGACAAGAGTCTTGAATGGCTTCTCTATTGTATAAAGTGGGAGGAAAGCTGTGTGTTATACAAGGAGCCTAATTGGAAGAAAAGGAACATTATTGAGGCTATGTTTATTTCTTCGGATAAAGATTCATTAGCCAACACATCCATTGACATCAGCCCTGTTTATAATACGTTAATAGAGAAAGAAATTAAAGGATGCATTGACAAATCAAAACAAAAGAAGATAATGCCATCAGCTGATCGAGATAACAGATCCTCTCCTCTCCCTCCCCCTCCTCCACAACCGGGGTCGTCAGTTGTGGTTAGGTGCTCACAATGTTTACGTGAGATGACAAAATAACCTTGAAAACGCCGCACGTTTTTATTGGTGCGGCGAAACGTCGGAGTTGAGAACTTTAGTCTGTGATTTTATCTTTAGTTTTATTTTTATTTTTGTATTTTTATCAGTGTGTACGTGTAATGAACTGTGATATGACAAGGACTGTGTTCTCCTGATTTCAATAAGGTGAGTGATGCCCAAAAATATTTATCATACTGAAGAAACAAATTGTAAACAAAACACCACCTCTACAGTGCACCGGACAGAACTAACAACAAAATTGTTCCATAATAGAATGAGAAATCTACCAAGGGGTTTTATCTATGTTTACCTTTGTATTGTTATCATGCAAATAATGTCATGGCGACAAATAAATCCAAGAGTCCCATGTTAAATTTCTAAAAATTTAAATTCATGTAGAGAAAAGCCGATTTGCACCATTTCAGATTCCTTCAGACCTTCCTGTAGTTGGTTACTATTACTGTGCTAAATTTCTTACGGATCGCTTCAGCCATTCAGGAGGAGTATGTGAAAAACAAAATGAGCAGTGTAGTATAAGAGCTTTGCTTGCTTTGCTCGCTCCGCTCAAAATATGACAATGAAAATGTCCGTTTTGAAGGAATCAATTGTGTTTTTCATGGATACCCAGACTTCTCACAAAAGATCACAAAGGAAATATAAAAGTGTTCACCCTTCCACTGATGCATCTCACAACCTGTCACCACCTTTAGGTTAGTGGAAATTATTACATGTCAAGCTTATAGCTTTAATACTGGGTTAAACATCATAAAGTTGTCATCTCATTTCATCAACACTGTCGTTTGATTTGTCTAAAAACTCTCTCTATCCAGTATGTTATATAATATCCATTATATTGTTTTGTAACACTTCCAGCTTACTTGCCATAGAGTTTTGTCGACAATAGCGATCAGTGTGTCACCAACATGAACTAGATTTAAAAAGCGAGCTTCAAAATTTACAATGTGACGAGAAGTCTACTTGTGTTGGTTAGTCTATGGTTCTACACTAATAAAGGAGATTTTGTTAAAAAAATCGTATTTGGTTCAAATAAAAACAAGCAACTAGCTTATTGTTGTCATTTTCTGTCAAGAAGAAACTTAAAATTATTCTTGTATTTTATTTTATTGGTTTCTATAACTAAGGTAAGTACAAATAATCTAATCCTATAAGCTAAGTGCGTGTACGGACAAAATTTAATTTTCGCCCACAGATTTAAAATTGCGTTTGTTATTATGGGGTATTTGGCAACGAGAAATTGATAGGAATCGGTCACAAGGCTGGGTGTGTATTAAAATGGTTTCTTTGTATCATTTAAAATTTGTTCACCATGGTTAACATACATAATAAATATTTTTAATTTAGCTGAATAACTTATCTAATAAATTTAATGTTTAATTCACTCCGAGCAAAGCTCGGTCTCCTGGTACTGTATATAACTTAATCAGTATATAAACTAAATGTATCTTTGTGTCCTGTTGGTCACTTCATTTTCACTGTATTAAACCAGTAAGATAATCAGCTGAGTAAAATTATTATTACATCCTGAATTGACCACAGTAAATAAAACACATTCATCTACATAACATCAACACAAAAAGAATCATTTTTCATGTAAAATTATCAGTTAAAACTAGTGTTATTCAGTAATAATTTCACTTTAAAGTTTGTGATAAGAAAAATATTAATTGACTGTTATTATTTTAAATCTGTGGCAAGTATTTAATTGTATGATTAGTTTTGATAACATTTCTTTGATATGGTAGGTACCTACCTAATATATACTTTTGTAAATAATGTTTGCTCTACCAGGTTAATTTATTCTGCATATTCTCTTATTTACTATTTTTTCTTATTTTGGAAATTACTGAAACATGCGGCATATTTTTTACATTTCATCAACAATTAGATTCAGAGCACATTGAACCCCATCCCTTTATTTGATTATAACTAATGTTAATATTATATTATTATTCCTCCATTCCTTGCACAAAAAGTTCAATTTATTATTTAGTAAGCTTTTATTTTCGATAGAGACACTTGCAGATAAAACGAGTATATGTAACGAGTAACTAGTGAAATGAAATATTTAAGGTACAACCAAAGACAAGGGAATAAGTATACTCTTGATTAAATTCCCTTGTCTTTGGTCCAGCTTACTAAGAATCTACTCACCTCACCCCAATATATATCTGATATCAAAGTATACCTCTACCTTTTTACAGACCATGGAACAACATCAAGGTGTAGAAGAGCGAATAAGAGCAGTAGAAGAGGCTATATGCCAACTTTATGTAAGTTATTGTTCAAGGGTCTCTTAATTTCTACCAATTTATATATTACAGTAAATGATATCAGCAATCTGACATATATACTTTTTCTCATTAGCTTGGCAACAACTCTTATCACGAGTAAGCGGTGGGAGTAACTATGATGTTTTATGAGGAAAATTTCAAAAGTTGCAATAACTATTAAACCATTATTTTTACAGGAATGGGACTTGTACCATGTTTTAAAGAGTTAAATGGACTATAACATAGGTACTAAATTTCAATTAAAATTATTCACGCAAAAAAAATCTATTTTACCGTTATTTTATAGATTTTTATGGGAGAATCACCATTAAAAAATCAAAATTTCCAACAATGAAAAAAAAAAACATGCCTAGAGGAGAGATGCCCATGGATTACTACCCGCACCCTCAATTTAAGGAAAATCAGACCACAGGTGTAGTCTGTAGCTCTGTGCACATCCACACACACGGACATCACTTAAAAACCACCCACTTTTTTTGTTCAGGGATATATCCATCTAAAACCCAAAAATTTTCACGAATATAATACTTTATCCATATACTGTAGGGGAAGAAAGTAAAAATTGTTAATCAGTTTTCAAATTATACAAAAATAATATTAAAACATCCTTGGTTGGTCCTAATATAATTAAGGTGTTGCTTCAAATTTCTTTGTAAGCTATTTTATATTCTATGCAATAATATAAATTTGGTTATTTTTAAACCCCTCTAAGACAATAGGCCTACAGATTAACAGTAGAAGACTGGAGCACATACCAGAAACGCCTGATATTTCAGTTGAAAAAAAGCTAGTAACTCCAGGGCGTTAGTATTGATGCTGATCTCTCCTAGACAGCATATAACAAAGCAATATAAACAACTTAACAAAGAAGCTTTTATCTGGAATCCATGTGGTGAAAATTATGAAATGGACAGCAGGCATGCTAGCAGCTAAGACAGCATATTTTGGTGGTGTTCCATCTCAGGTATGGATTAATATCATGGGAAGGAATATTTTAAATCAACCCTAACAACATCCTGGTAATTCAGAAGAAGGCCATTGGGGCTCTCCTGGACCTTTTGACCCTGCAGATAGCTGTAGAAAAGCCTTTAAATCACTAATGCGCCTAACCATCATAGCACTCTACATCAGTGCAGTTGTTCTATACACTGACCAGCTGGACCTTCCCAGGAATGGAGATTTTCACCAATACCAGACCAGGAGCGCAACAGATTTCAGCCTCCCTTCACACCATATAACGCAGTTCAGTAAAAAACCAACCTATATCATATATGCCAGATCATATATGCACTGTCCTAAGACCTCAAGACTATGAGATTAAACACGCAAAAACAGGGACTGCGAGACTGGCTGGTAGAATGACCTGTTTACTCAATCAAAGAATTCTTTAATCTCTTCTAAAGATAAAAGACCAGAAAATGCTTGTGAAGCAAGAGATCTCAACGAACATGACACTATTGTATTTCTTTAAGAAAATAATAATAAAGAAATGTGTTTATTGTCTATAAATTTTCAAATCATTCTTATTAAAGATTCACATTAATACTGTTTCCTCTTTTTATTTCACGGTGTAAGTATATCATGGCTATTAAATATAATTACTCATAAATTGGTTAATAAACATTGGGCCCGTTCTGGGAACATGTACCGGTGCACCGGTACCGGTGACTTATTCACCGGTACCGCCCCGGGGCAAGAGTCTTGGTATCCCAGAACGGTTATTCACCGGTTTAAGGTACACATTGGATTATAATTCATTGGACTCATTCACCTATTATTTACTTTATAATATTTAAACCAATCAAACTTGTTCTCACAGAATAAATTATTTGAAAATTATTCACGTAATACAACACCCTCATAAAATAAATTTTCACTAATTACGCAACATAACCTATAAAACTGATGAACATTATTCGATGGACCCGCCATCTTGCCGTAGCTGCATGCTGTTGTCGTTGTCCATGAAACTGACCAATCAGAGGCCGCCTGTGTATTATGCACCGTACAATTTCTCCGGTGCATAAATCTTGAAATCTAGGAAATAGCTAGGTTAACTCACCGGTCTCCCAGAACGACACATTTTTTGCACCGGTGCCGCCCCGGTGCACCGGTACATGTTCCCAGAACGCGCTCACTATTAGAACCTTCTGGAAAACCGAAGTTTTGCCTCATAAAATGAAATATATATTTTGAAACGTTTCATAATATCTGGAAACGTATACATTTCCTCTTAGGAGCGTTGAGACAGAAGTGAAATTATCACTTTATGACTGGTAGTTCAAACTAAACACAGTTAGCAGCAATAGCAATAATTTGGTCTAAACTGTAATATTTTCCTTCTATTTATTTATTTAATTATACATTTGACTTTTTTTAGCAAAATCCAGCATTACAAAATCCTGTCCAGTCTCCGCAGACAACTAGGTCAACTAACATAGACCAGAATGTGAGTACAAATATGTCCAATCTTAACGTTAAAATGAATCATTGTATTACACTATTGTTATGCCATCCAGGAATGTGTTTTACCTGGTCACACTATTATTTGCTTTTTCTTAACCCCCCCCCTCCCCCCAAAAAAAACAATGCAATGGGGTTATATGATCATGGAGGCTGTTGTAAACAAGATGTTGCTCGGTGGTCAGGTGCAGTAAAATGTAGCAATAACATTACATACCATCTTAAAGTCATTTTTTCAAAGCCTTGGCAAGTGTCTTAAAAACTTCTACAAGTGTATTAAGACGATTTACATGAGTTGTGTACACTACATTATACCTACACGATAGTTTTTTAAATTACTATCAATCACTTGTAAGAGAGGTTATATTTTTGTTTATAACCTCTCATTGCCACTTACAGTGATTCCTAAGTGTCCAAAATATTTGAAAAAGTACCATTTTGAATCTTTTTCATCACTGATTAATAAAACACACAAGTATTGCAATGTTTTTAGTATCTAATATCTAATCCCATTTTGTTATGGGTTTAGCCTAGACTATGATACCTTACCATATAAATCCTATTAATCTTTAGTAAATTCCTTCAAACTATTTACTAAAAACACAGTTTACTATAAATGCGGATTTGAATGCTGACTTCACTGACCATAGTGTCTTACATTAAAGTATTACATTACAAATTACTTATTAGGTACTGGTAAAACTTAGAACCAAAGAGAGTTTTTAATAAATATTGAAGAGCAGTAAACAAGTCCATCGGTTACATGTCCGCACAGGTATTTGCTACAAATAACATTTATTCTGATAACTATCACATCCTACCTAAACACAAATAATCCTAAAACTTAATCAAAGAATTATCAAGTGTACTGTACATATAGCTTTGAAGAAAAATGTGCGATACATTATAACCAAATTGTTCTTTCTTTTTAGAAACCACAGCAAAAAAGTGTTACTTGGGAGACTAGTCCAACTTCTGTAAGTAAAAATAGTCAATAAAAGAACTAATTTTACTTAAGCCACTCAAGTGTCTTATAAAAACATTGTTTTGAGTAACTTTTGCCATTTTACTATTTTGTAAAAAAATAAAATATTTTTTACAAGTTTCTATCTCTCAGAGTTCATTTTCCTACAACTGGATATTGAAGATTTAAACTATTTAATAAACTGTTACCTGTTCAATATAATTTGGTATTGTTGAATGACAACCGGTTTCGTGACGACGGTCACATCATCAGGTCAATCCTCATAGAATAGGCCTGCTCAAAGTAAGCGTGCACGCATCGCGATGGTTTCTGTCTTAGTTCGTAAAAATAACTGTAAATATTTTGTGTTCTGTGTTCTCGGTATAAACTTTAAGTGTATCTATCGAACCTTTCTACGAGGATTGACCTGATGATGTGACCGTCGTCACGACCCCAGTAGTCATCCAACAATACCAAAGGATATTGAACCGGTAACAGTTTATTGAATAATCCCACATACTGAATATGAAATATCTGGAATGTTTAATAAAACATATTTTGGAATTACGAAAACCTTTTTTAGATTTCACATGGTACAATGTGGTATTCAAACTAAAAATTTATCTGTAACCTTAATAGTACTAAGTACTTTAACTGTAACCTTTATTTTAATTTAACTGCTTTATGTGAAATTGTTTAATTAATTTTTGGATAAATAAGGTAATTAAGACATTTTAGTTTTAAAATCACCACAAATGACATTTTTATGTAATAAAACACAATTATGAGAGTCATTCAATAACTATACAAATTATTATTGTTAAAAAACGGTTTATTGAATCTTTGCAAGACTTGGGTTACTTTGCAGGATAGTCCCCAGCGACACTTATACACCTGTCCCATATTTCTGCTAATTTGTAAATGGCATTTAAAAATTAGCAGAAATGTTATGCCAAGGGCATTTACTAAATGCCCTTGGCATAACATTCTTTAAGTTGATCTCAAAGCCACTTTTGCACCTGATTTCTTACCCCTTCATTGGATTGAAAATGTATCCCTCGTAGACCATCTTTAAGGAGTTCAAACAGATGGAAGTCTGATGGGGCGAGGTCGGGGCTGTAGGGGGGATGTGGAAGGACCTCTCATCCCAGTGTCTGAAGTTTCTTTTGTCAGCTATGTTGTATGTAGACGGGAGTTGTCAAGAAGCAAAATCACGCCTTCAGTCAAAAGTCTATAGCGTTACGTTCAAAATGCAGGTCTTATCTTGTTTTCCAGCATGTTACTGTAGTACTGGCAGTTGATTGTTCTTTAGTCTTTAACAAATTGGCCCCTGAAAATCCAAGAATACTGTAAGCATGACTTCACCGGCAGATGGCTGGGTCTTGAAATGTTATTAAATTCAAGTTGTATGCTTCCACTGAAGGCTCTGTGGTTTTGACACTGGCTGATAGTGGAGGGCCCATGTTTCATCACACATTACAATTCTTTAGAATTATTAAACCCCCTCCTTTATTCGTACATTGATTTTTAACTGTTGACTGATTTGAAGCCTGGTTTCTTTTTGAGCGTTCATGAGTTGTCTGGGCACCTATATCTTAAGGTTTTCTTGTACTGTAGCTTGTTATGAACAGTTTCAACACTCGCGTTTACTTTTTCACTTATCAGTTCAAAGGCCTACTGTCCCAAGCTATCACGTCAATCCGAGATTCGTGACAGGAAGAGTTAACTTCGATCGGTCCGTCCACTGCTACGCTCGTCAGAAGCTTTTGTATGGCCACTTTGAAACTGTTCTACCCATTTGTAAACAATTCAAACAATTGTCTCACTTTTAAATTTCCGCACACTTTTAACATTCTATTGCGAATTTCACCACCTTTCTCACCTTCAGCGACCAAAAATCTGATAACGGAACGTAGTTCTTCCGCGGGGTAATTCTCGAGCGTACTTGCCATCGTTAACTGAGTAAATTTGAGGTTATGTTTACAAAATATGGTTTAACAGCTGATCAATTGTCATTATGAGGTTGCTAACTTTTATGTCCTGGAAGTTTTGTACTGATTTAATAAACTGGTTTTGCAATAATAATTTGTCGTTACTAACTGAGTGACTTTCTTATTGTAAAACTTTTTAAATGTAAAATGAATTATTAACAGTAGTATGTTCTTTATGTCATAAGGAAACCACCCCCACATCACAAGGGTTTTGGTCGGAAGGTTCATGGATAACTAGTTCTGATAGCCCGCCTGTAAGTTGAAATACATTTAAGTTTTTTTTTTAAATTAAGTCTTCGCATTCAACACATTGAAGTTATATAAAGTAAGCAAATAGCAGTAAATACAGATATGATTCAAATTCTTATAATTATAACTGTACGTAGTTTTCTATGTGTCATTCAACAAAATTTTGTGTTACAATCAGTACTGATTGTCCGTAACAAAATTAGTTGTACTCATACAGGATTCTGTTTGAGCTGCAACTCAATAAATGTGGGAATTTATCAATGATTCAAGAACTTGACTTGTATTGACTTGGGCACTTTATATTATCAAATAGGAAATAGGTAAGCTATAAGCAATTCCTTCCTTGCCTTGCAGACCATGAATGTTCATAGTGCATTTTTGTTGATTTATAAACTTGTTTTGCAGATCCAGGATCCCAGCAAACCAAATGAAGAAGCTCAGCCAAAGTTTATAGAGAGAACCTGGGGTGATTGGTGGACTGCTGACCCCTTTGAAGACCCTGTAAGCATAAAAGTTCTCTTTCTTGCATAAACACCTGTACGGTAAAACCTCACTTAGAAGGTCCCACTTAGGGGTCTCAATCCCGGGATCCCGGCCGATTTTTGATACCTAGAAATCCCGGGATTGGTGACTTTTAATCCCGGGATTAATGGGATTGCAAAACCTATAATTATATCGATTTGTTTATGAATTTGAGGTTTTTTAGGCCTACTTACGGAAAACTAATAAAAATAGTCCAATAACACTTGAAACACAATATACTCTTTATTTTTAGGACGATTATATGAAATGGTATAAGTAATGATCTTTTTTGATTGGAAAATTTAATTATCATTAAACTCAATAGGCGAACGAATGTAGGCCTAAATATATGTTTCAGTTTTTAGACGATTTGGATTTACTTTATGTAAATGTTATTACATTAGTTAGAACTTAATTACAGTAGGACTACAAGTTATTTTGAGTTTTACTTTTGACATTAAACATGAACAACGCAATTCGTGTAGCAAACATAACATTGCAATCGGAAATTTAAGTATTATTTTCATTGAAGCCATATAATATAACTATAAACAAACACACAATTATAATCTCATTATTAAGATTGCTTATATTTAGGGTCTATAACTTTATCTTTGTATTTGGTTATTAGTGTAGTGATTAAATTTCTTACAATCTAAAATTACGTTTTTCATACACACGCTACTACATGAGCAGATGGTTTATTTTTTTACAGTATCTTATACTGTTTTATTGCTGTCAGTCAAAATAAAATTTTTAAGCTGCTACTCGTGATTCTTCTCATTTTATCTTTTTCTCTTATCCATCTATTAGCGTGACGCCTACGTGCGAGTGCGGTTGCTCATGATTTGTTTAAATGTATTTATTATATTCTAGAGTGACATATCACATTTATACACTGTAAATAAGAAATACGGGCGATGAAAGTTCCGCGTGGTAATATTTATTTACTTAGAAAACGGACACATTGCCCAGTGTAACACTGGTAAGGCCAGTTTAAAACACAAAGTATTTAACGAGGAGACCTCTCGCTCATTTAAAATGGCTAAAAAGTTAAAAATCATAATATTATATAATCCTGGGGATTGATCCCGGGATCCTGGGATCGGCGGGGACGAATCCCAAAATCCTGGGATTGGATTGAAGGCCCGGGATTGAGACCCCTAGTCCGACTAGAAAAACAGGCCATGCGGCGGCGCAACACTACGTCCAGTCCTGTGGGATAGTTGTACTGAAATCTTACCATTAAAATCTGACAAACAGCTAGTTTATTTACCTTAAATATATGCGATATGGTAGTGGAATTTATTCACTAATGTGATGTCAAGGATCCTGCAGCATGGCCTGTTTTTCTAGTGGGGCCTGGCACTTACTTGAAAATTTGTGGACCCAGAGGTTTTTGAGTAACATTCACCTAAATACTGAATACATGAATGCTATGATAAATTGAAATTATTTTAGCTTAACCAAAATGTCTCTGTTTGAAGGTTTTTGGATGGTCCCCACAACCTACATCTACATCTAGAGGCCGACAGATTGTAAGTAAATAAGTGAATACATCTATTTTAGACTAGGAAACCTGCGCTGGATTGTAATATAGTTCGGGATTGAACATGCCTCTATTGTACAAGCTGTCAACATTCTGAAACTAATTTGTTTACAATGATTGTGTGCTTTTTGTGCTCTTAATATATCAGAGCTTGCAACGGATGGGCAAAAATTAGTTTTCAGCGGTTATATACAAGTTAAAATAACATGTAAAAAAGACTAGTTCACGAATTTCCTAAATTTGTTTGTAAATACTAAATTTTTTGTAAAACAATACAAAGTTTCAGTTCATTCAGTGCATAGTTTGGATCTTTGTGAATATTTTACAGTTTATTTCAACTCGATAAACTCTTTAAAAATTCCACGAGGTTCTTTTTTGTAGGACCATGTTTATGTGGTAAACAGCCAGCGGGGTTAACCCTCTTAAGGATATCAAATCAAAATTTATGATGGTGATAGTTTCGACCATTTATTAACTACAAAAGATGGCAAAGTGCACAAAAACCAGTTTTGAAACATTGGATGGTTCAACAAAGGGACTCTTTTAAATGGCTATTAAGTGAAATCTTAAATAATAAAATCCCGAGATTGTATTAAAGCTTTGGGATTGAGATCCCTAAATGTGAAATTTATGAATATCTTTCATGTGGTACTTTTATTTGCTTTCAAGGATTATAATTTGTTGTATTTTATCCTTGTCTACAGAAACATAGTCCCTTATCTATTGGAACAAAATACATCGAGAGATCATGGGAGGCCTGGTGGACTCCGAAACCCAATCTTAACGTAAGGATCACATCTACTCTTGTTGAGTATAATGTTTCTTATACTTTGAGTTAAGGAACAAACCATAGCTGTAAGAGAAAATAAATATTATCAACAATCTGACACATACTTCTTCCCATAAGCTTGTCAAAAGCCTTTGTCATGGGTGAGGGTGAAAAGTGAAAACTATAGTGGAGCAGCGAGGCCAGATTGTAGCGGAGAGTTTTTTTACCCCTAATTGTGGTGGCGCTGCACATGCACAATGCGCGGGGCGATGGTAGTGATTCAAGAGGCTGGATGACAGACATTTTTGATATACAATAAACCTGATTAAATAAACATTATAGTGAAATGTACTAATTTTGTAAAGAAACTAATTGACCGTTAAATATGAAAACACAACAATGTGTCCATTCATTTATATACTGCCTACATATTTTTTAAAATAATAAAAATGCCATGATATTCTAGAAACTCCTAATCATTGTGTATGTGTAGAAAGTAAAAGGAAAAAAAACTGTTTGGAGGATAAATTGCATATCAAATATCTCACTTAATTAAGGGGAACCCTGTAGCTTGTTGGAAAAATAGTTACACGATTTCATTTAATGTAGGCCTATTGTAATAAAATTAGTTCTTGTCCCAAACAGGACAGCGTTCATGAACTGACAAAATAATAGTACTTTTTACAGCCGGTTTGACCACTGAGACTCGACCCTTGACCAAACCCTCAAGCCCTGGGCACAATACGAGCAAGGAGCGTCGAGCAGCACTCGAGCGTCAACAGAGTGTGGAAGGTGGTCATTATACAGACTGTTTGCTGTGTTGCTGTTTGCTGGTTGTGGCTTGCACTTTTTGCTGGAAAACTGTCCTTAAAAATACCATATTTTGATAGAAATAATTTAATTAATTTAGCTGACATGTCAAACTCTGCTCCCACTTCATCCCACAGCTTCCTCGTCAACGTAGTGTCTTGAAGTTGTTGTCTTTATAATTCCATATGATGAACGACACTGAATTTCACATATTAAACTTTCAATTTGAATGTCATAAAGCTTCTTCGAAGCAACAATGTCCTTTTTCTTAAGTTGTTTGAAGGCCCACGTGATTCTTGCTCCTCCGGAATATTTAACAAGACTAACAAGACTAAAACCCATCGGAAGAAGCATGACTCATCAGAGTGTTGAGTCTCGTACAAAAAGTAATTGGGCATGACGAGGCGGTGTTTATGACGCATAGCGGCACCGCTGCGCTGACTGTTACTTGCCGCTCCAATCTATGAACACACCCCTCTTCATATGGCAACATATGGGGCCCGATTGCAAAGCGGTGAAAGAGTGGCGCCGCTACAACGCTCGACACTCGACGCTTGAAGCTCACCGCTCGTATCAGGGTAGAGTATCGGAGCGAAGAGGCTAGAGAGCCGTCGCAGGTACCAGCTTTGCTCCCTGCTCCACTATGATTTACACCTACGTACATGTAGCCTTTTATTTAAAACTCGCTCAGCTACGCTCTAGCCTCTATATTTCCACCCTAAAAGGGGGGGGGGGGAGTAACTGTGATATTTTGAAGAAAAATTACAAAAGCAGCAATGACTTTTGAAATTTCATTTTTGCAATAACAAGGTTGTAACATTTAGTTTGGAATTATAAGGAGCGTAACATACTAAATTTCAACTGAGATCAGTTGAGCAATTTGTTCAAATATCCAGTTTTCCCGTCATATGGGGTTTTAAAGTTACAATACCTTTTGAGCCAGTAATTTTTACAGTGATGGGGTTGTACCGTTTTGTTTATAGTTAAAAGAACTATGACATGCTAAATGTAACCTAAATCGTTCGGGCCATTTTGAGAAAATTACATTAAATTGTAACCAAAACTCAATTTGTGCTTTGTCACGAATAAGTTTTTACTTCTACAAACTTTAACTGAGGTAAGTTACTTTGTAGCAAATTTTACACTCTGTTTTAGACTTCTGGACAGCCTGACTCGCCCAATATTGTAATGCCGGCAGATAATACATGGCCTACTTCTGAACCTGGTGTAAGATTGAACATTATTTACTTTACACGTACGATATATGCAGATCAATTGACACATTTTGAGGGAAGTAAATATTTTAATTACACTCACAACTCACAACCCCTCTCACATTACTTGTTGTGTTTGTATGTACCATAAACAAATCAATAGTCATGATATTAAAATAAAAAAAAAACAACAAATAATAAAACTTATACCTAGGTTAAAAAATTGAACGATTTGTTTAACACGTTCGCTACCGCAATAGTACAAAATTGTTCATTCATATGGACCAGCGACGCACATTTGCGACGGCTGGTTTCTGACGGCTAGTCGCGTTAAAATAGACTGAAGTCGCATATTTGCGTCGGTGTTCCAATGTTATCAAAACAGTTATATCTTTGTAAAGGTCTATTTGAAGGCAATGAATTCTATGCAGTGATCTACAGGGATGTCTGTCGCACAACTACGTCGCTTGGTCTGTGGATAAGATCATTGGTGACGTCATATGATATTTGGAAAAACTGTTCTTTATTTTGCTGCATCACCGTATGCTGTATGTAGCACCCATGTAGCTTTTATATTTGTTCCATTATAAACTGTTCTTGAAATATCTGTTATTTTTACTTACTTTCACCTAAAAGAGAAACAGAAATGAAGTGTCGCTTATATGTGGCGTTTGGGCTATTTCAAGAAAAATATAATATTTTTCACTATTGTCTTCACTGTAGACCTGGTGTCACACATTACAAAAGGTTATCAAAAATATAAATAAACAAGAATATATTATTTACAAACAAGATTGCAGAGCATTACAAAGTAAATATGATCACTGTTTAACAGGTTTTCGCACGTGGTCTGCGTGTACTGGTAACCAAGTATGACAGCCAGTCTATATGTAAAATTGAATTGTATACCCCAGTCTGTGGCAATGACCGCGTCGTAGCATATATGCGACGCTCGGTAGCGAATGGAGTATGTTAAACAATTTACTGTTTGCAGATAGTTAAAGCCCATTCTAGATGCAATAAGTACAATAAAATCCATAGTATTTTTTATTTTTTAACTCAGATTTTTCAAGACTATAGGTTGATATTTTTTTATCATCTTCAATTTTAAGTATGATTTTAAAACATACCTGAAAATGTGAATACGAAAAATCATAAAACAAATCAAAATTCTTTAAGGGTACATAATAAACTTTCAGATTCTGTTGTTATTAAAATATCATGGCCAATTTTGATTTACCCCATGTATGGATAAATAAAGATTTTTGATCATGGATTTTTTTATCCACTAAAATGTTGGATATCACTCATTGTACTGAAGATTTTAGGAATAAGTTACATTATAATATGTGTTACAAATTTGTCCCTTTGTTTTAGACTTCTGGACAGAGTGAGCCGTTTCCCGTAGTGTTGGAGAAAGATGGTACATGGCACAGGCCTACTTCTGAATCTGAAAACTATTTTGTAAGATTAAAACACCACTAAACTAGCTTTTAAATTGAAATCAAATACATCTGCAAAACACACAAATCATTTGACATATTTTCATTTTGAAATAAATACACTCATATCCACTATCACATTTTCTTTATGTTGATTTGTTCTGTATGAGCCTTTAAGATATCGTCCCTACATGGTATTTTAAACTCCAAACAAAAAGAATCAAATTATGTTATTGTCTGGTTAAATCTAATGATTCACAAGAATCATGTTAAAAATGTTACAAAGGTCTAATGTAATATTTTTTTTTTAACTCGTTCTAGACGCAATAAGTGCAAAATTAAAAATAATCCACACTGTTTTGAGCAATTTATAGAACACTCTAGAAGAAAAATAGTTTTTTCAAGACCATAGGTTGAAATAAAAAAAAAACTTAAATTGAAAATATAGCTTTATAAGATTGTAACACATGTATAAAAAATGAATGGAAGACTTTTTGACTAAGACTGGTCAATATTTGACATGTCCAGTCAGATGTTTCCAGACATGCAATTTGTCGAGCAGTTTGCAATTGTGCCTCTTCTTGATTGGTCAGTTTTTCAAACACCTAAGAATTGAAGGGACGCTATATGATTTTTGTAAAATAATCCAATTCCCCATCCGTCTTTTGTGTGGCAACTCCCATGTAGGCCTACTCGTGGTTAATCACATTACACACTTTATGCTGGTGGATTCTCTTAGCAGTCTTTAAAAATATACTTCAGCGTTCATCTGATATAGAGCGTTATTTGAGCGTTATCTGAGTGGTTAGAGCGTGGGACATTAGTCTCAGAGGTCCCGGGTTCAAATCCCGTCACATCACCAATGGATTTTATTTAAGTGATAATGTCGCAGCCCCTAGGTCTAGCCTGAAGTAATGTGAAAAACAAACCCAGGCTCGTGCCTAGCGTCTTAGAAAAAATAACTGTTAATCTAATTTAGTGTTTTCATCCTCCAGTTTTCTGCTTTATTCTCAATTTAAATACCTCAAGACAATAGTTTTTTATGAGATATTTCTCACTTTTTGTGTAATAGTTTTAGTTAAATTCAAGAAACATCAAAGCTCCAGTTTTAAAGGTCTAATAGTTTTGACTTTCAATTCCAATTTGCTATAATTTCAAGATTCAGCATTTTTTAAGTTAAGGCATTTAGGAGAATGCCAAGTGTCAATTATTTTTATTTTAAATCGCATGAAGAAAGTGATAACACCTCAAGAGGAAGTTATTTTATACAGTTAATTAACACAGCCCATACCTTTCCACTTTAAAAAATGTTCGATTGTCTTTGCTCTTACTCTTATACATTTTTAGAACTATGCAAAGTACCGTTCAATGACCATGACTTTTGATGTTTTTTGTTATGCATTAAAATCTTATATATGTCACTCTTTACAGCACAAATTTCAGGAATGCATTGTGTGTTACTAATTTGACACTTTGTTCTAGATTCCTGGACAGCTTGGCTCGCCTAATGTTGTATTGATGGCAGATGGTACATGGCATTGGCCTGATGATAAACCAGTTGTAAGAACACCATTAAACTAACTTTTAAATTAAAATCAAATACATGTACAATACACACAAATGAATTGACATTTTTGAAAGAAGTAAATATAGTACTCATATCCACTCTCACATTTTCTTTGTGTTGCTCTGTATGGGTCTACAAGAAATAAAAATACATGATATAAAAAAAATAAAAAAATCTATTTCTTAATTATTCTCTGGTTAAATCAAATGATTTGAAAATGATTGAAAATATATTTATGTTAATTTATTCATTTTTATTTTTCTAGACTTGTATCTTTTTAATTTTTGGTAACAGTTGAATTTAAAATCGGAAGTGACTGGTAAATGCTTCTAAATAAGCTCTTTTATAAAGCATTTTATACAGACAAATGAACATTTAGAAGAAAATTAAAACAATAGAGTCATACAATTGAATCTAAGGAGTAAGGAACCTTCTTAAGATTAAACAAATATTATAAGTTAACTGAGTAATTTGAGAGGACTTAAAACGTCTGCAAGCACTTCTCGTGACGTTGTTCAATGGCGCAACATCTACTGAAGCCCGAGCTAAGGTAGAGCGCACCCTCAAATTGTAAATTAAAATGCTCGATAAACATGGTGTCATTGTAGCTTTTCTTCATGGCTAGGATTTTTATCACAGACTAGCTGTTTGCCCGTTCTACGTACGGGAATCTTGTAGTAAGTTGAATCCTTATATTCAGAACAGGAGTTGATTTGCATATTTAGTGTGCATTTTTCCAAATATGCTGGCAAAACTATTACTGTATAGGAATACATATAAACCTTCGCAACTACAATATCTGACAGTTTCAAAGCCAAAATGAATGCTTCGCAATTAAATGTCACCCAATCGTGTTAGTCCATATTTTATATCTAATGATAAAAGGAATTGCTTTATAGATCTATCAGGCATAGCCCTAAGGTAGGCCTGTAATTGAAAGTTACTTTTCACACTGGTTAAAAGTAGTTAAAATACTACCTCAACCTCACTACTGCACACTTAAATCGGGTTGAAATTTTCATTAACAAAGGTGCTCTTGTCTTTTCCACAAAACACTGAGAAATAAGGACATTAATGCGTTACCAACAGACATACACACACAAATACAGAATTGAATTAGGGTATTTGCTACGCTTTAACCAAAGCAAATTACAAACAAAATAATTATTTTAAAGTTTTGATATAGTGTCATCAAATGTTATGATAATCGTTTTTAGGCCTAATCAAACTGTAAAATTGGTGTAAATCTGTTGGCAAATATATAAATAAGTAAATAAATACACAGTCCACAAAACATTTATACGTTAACAACGCCAAGCTTTAAAAATTCATGATGGTTTGCTAAAAAAAATCTTTCATCGTTATCATCGTTTTCGTTATCGTTTTCATAGCATAAACTAACATTCTGGAGTCCAGACAGAAAACGCAAAAATTATACAGTAAGACACCAATTAAATTTAATAAGAAATAAGGTGCAGCACTAACGATAACTATAGTTGTAAATATAGTGATGTGTTTGTACGTAAAAATGATTCTTACTGCTACCACCGGTTCTAAGGAAAAGTAGCAGTACCATAAACCAACGTTTACATTTAAGAAAAGAACTATAGTACTTACGACCAATTCAAACTGTCCTTCTAATCAAACTGTATTATAGGTGTTAAATATATAAATAAATAAATACACAGGCCACAAAACATGTAACATGTAACGTTAACAACGTAAAGCTTTAAAAACTCACTATGGTTTGCTCAAAAAACTTTCACTTGATGTGGTGCAGTACCTAAGTTATTAATCTCCCTTGGTTTTAATTTTTTTTTTTAGTTTTCAAAAATCAAAGCTATTTCCCATTAATAAGATTATTTGTAAGCAACTTTTAATGTTTACATATTAATGACAGTTTGAAGAAACCACCTTTATCCAAACAAATAAATAAATAAGGTCTTTATTCATGAGCGAATTTCAGTTACAAAACTGTTTTACAAATTGATTCAAGTCAGGACTTAAACTAAATAAAACCTCTTATAACTACGAAACAAAATAAGATTAGTTACAAACTCTTTAGGTGATTCATAAAACTGTTGTAAGACAGTGCTTTTAGCTTGCAAGGAAGTGCATTGTACTGAGCCGGCCCGAAGTAAGAAAAACCGCTTCTACCAGCATCAAGAACAACCCTTGGTATGTCAAGCAACAAGTCCTGTCTAGTTCTGCGCTCTCTCACGGCCGACCTCGCTTTCAGTTTTTCCTTCAAGTACTGTGGTGCCTGAGTGACCAGTGTTTTGTGGACGATACATGCAACCTGCTTATCACAGCTCTCTCGGACGGACATTGTATTTGAGATCCTACGGTGACTTGTTATATGATCATATTTTTTAAGTTTGTATACGAACCTTAGAAACAAACGTTTCTTATTTTAAATATTACCGGTACGTAATCTCTAAACAATAATCGTTACATATATCTAGCAAACATTCGGAGGAAATGTGACAAAAAACGCAAAAATCTGAGGTTTTGGACGTTTGTAGTTTTACTTCCTAAGTAGGAAAAGTACCGATATCGTTGTCAAAACGTAAGTAAGTAGAAACCAAAAGTGACACATTGGAAAAGCGAGTTTAGCTACAGGTTACGATCACAGCAAAATCAGAAACATCTTCCGAGATCGCAGAAACATCCACGATCACCCACTGCAGTTGTGATTTTTTACTTTGCACTTTACACAACTGTCCTTGAAGCGCCGTCAATGAGTGGAAACCTTTTTTGTAAGCTATTATGGTGACGATGATTAAAAAAACGTAAGTTTCCCAGCACTAATACAACACTGATTCATGGTATTTTCCCCGGTTATCAAAACTCAAAAAACAATCGTTGGCACTTGCGATTAATTAAACCGGTTAAGTAAGGCACAACGTTTTTAATCTCACTTGGTTTGAATGTGCTAACAAAACTTGATCGGAAATGGTTGCGGTATTTGTAAACAACTTTTAATGTAAACATATCAGTGACAGCTAGAAGTGAGAACTAATCCAAACAGCTGATCGTTATTTCATAAAATGTAATAGTAAACATTAGGAGAAAATTTGACAAAAATCTAACAAAATTGGGTTTTTGATGGTTCGTTATTTTGTTTTAAAGGAAGCGAGGCGATGTTTTTATAGTCAAAGACACTCTCACCAATCCAGTAAATACAGACAAATGATTAGAATCTTGATTGTTACTCTAGTTTTCTAGGGAGTAGGCCGCGTAAAATGACATTTTGGCGTCACAGACGGAATCACAGAATGGACAAACAGACAAACAGACAGACAAACAGACATACAGACAGAAATTGAGATAAGACTCGTTTCGGCTTTCTTAGGCTATGAAACGTAAAAATAACCAAACACTGCATGATTCTAAGCAATGTACAGACAAAACTGTAATTTTATTTATATAGATTTTTTTCACATCATATTTCTGCTTTAAGATGCAATCCATGTAATTTATACACCCATGTAATACACAAATAGTATTTAAACAAGCTGATATCCAAATTTTCTTAATATTCACTTCCGTTTTGAAGGATATTCATGGCAAGGCAAACCTTATCTTAGCAAATTATTTTCTACTATCTTAAAAAACATTATACCAATTAAATATGTTTATGTGCACACACAATTTCCTCTATACTAGGGATACCAAAAATGTTTAAGTAACACTGTTGGCAAAATTAATAACTTAGCTCTTTCATTGATCCTTTGTTAAAAAGATAAACTAATAACTCTCTGATTTTGTAACATTATGAAGTAGGTACACCAATCATGAGAGATTAAACCATTGAATACTGTTCTCTCTCGTATCTCTTACAGAATATGTTGTTTTGCTTTACACAATGTCTTTTAAACATGTGATTCATTTTACAGGCCCCCAATCCAACAAAATCTGCAGTATTGCCTGCTGGGGAAAAAGGGAAACCTGGTAATCAATTTGTAAGTATTCAGGTTTATTTGTTTACAAATGATGTTAGCGAATGTCCCATAGGGAATAAGCTATTACCGTAGGTCTCATGGTGAGACCTGGACCCGGGACAGATTTACTTTTTCGTTTTGATGTCCCCAGAGGCCAAAAACATCATCCGTTCAAATTCATTCATATATACTAGCAGTGTACCGGTACCGCGCAGTCCTTGGTACGGTGTTGGCATATAAGTACCGTATATAAATGCTTATTGCAGATAAGGAAGAGGACACGGTTTAAGATAATTTGGTTCTTTTAATTTACAGAATGCTACAGTAGATGTGTTGAATTAGGATAAAAAAGCAGAATTCTTCATATTTAAGTCTGTTCGACTTTAAAATTCAGCACACCTACCATAGCCATAACGGTCTACCACTGTTCTCAACCATAGAAAAAAGTAAAGTTCTCATATTGTACCACAGCTTTTTGTTGGTGGTTTCTTCAAATTAGCTGTTGTCATAAATGCAAAAAATTAATAATGCTGCAAATACATGAAATGTTAAAACTACTGCACAAAAATTTATATTCTAATTAATTGTTTCTTAACAGATTCCAGAAGACATCCACATCCTTGCTGGCAAAAACCAGGACCTGCAAAATGTGTTGCAACAATTTGATTGCGTGAGTGGAGCTCTTTCAAATGAAATTGATCAGATCATGCTTCTCAACAGGAAACTGCGTAAAGATATGGTTAGTCCATTCAGTAAAAATTTTATCTGGATGAGGTTTTGCCTAGTGGTTAGTTTCTCAAACTTTGGTGTGGGAGGGACGGGTTCAATTCCCAGCATATTCACTAAACATTTATTTCTCTCATTGACTTCTCGTAAAATGTCACTGGCGTAGAAAGAAAAATAATAGAAATGCTTTTGAACTGTAAAATTATCACAGTTAAATTCTTAAATGGTTGAAAACAAATTGGAAGATTCGTACCTACTACCAAGAATCATTAGTGAAATTATTTTGCTTTGAAACAGGTTCACAAATTAAATTAAAGGCAAATTTTTGGGTGATAAATTTATTAAAATACAAGATAGGCTATCACGTACTGCATGAAATAATATATGAAATTATAATATGCTGTAGTTTTTCCTTAAAGTAGATGCTTATTCTTATTTAGTTAAACAGCAGAATGCAATGATTATAAAATTAAAATTTTAAATATGATTGATGTTCGAATTTGTACGGTCGAGGGATGAATATGGTTTTTTTTCTGTTGTTTACCCTGCAAATGATATAATTTTGATAGAATTTAATTTTATTATTTTTTCCAAAGGAAGCAAACTTTGGAAAAGTATACTAAGGACTGTTGAGTAGCACTTGGGATGATGTATTCTGTTTTCTCCTCTCAAACTAGCAACTTAAATATTAAAGTATTGGATTTTTTGACCATTCGATGTTTTCAAAACTTAAATCAACTGCTTATACAGGAATAAAATCGAGTAGGTTGGCAGAACTATTTATAAACAGTTCATATCTTCTCAATAAAAATTACCCAATTGCATTATGAATGTATGACCCAAAGTGATTAGTTATAAAATTTAAGCCCCTTGATTTATTAACAGATTTTGTTGTTTTCCAGAACCACCCGAGCAATGGACAATGCTTCTAAAACCTCCAAGACCCTGTTTTTTAAGTGAGTAGCTTCTAAAAAATAATGTTATGGTCTGATTTATTACCTTGATTACTTCTTCTACCTCCCAAAAGTATATATTATTTACTAAGTTAAAATTTGTATTAAAAAATTGTGTTCTTACATAAAAGGTTAAGCATTTAAAAATAAACCATACTTTGTGTAGAGTATCTCAAAGTAATCTTATTGAATTATTTTTTGCTCACATTTTTTAAGGTTGTGAATGATTGTCCAGGTATGTGAAGCTGGCAATGCCCATATCTAAAATAAACTTTAAAATAACCTAAATCGTTTGTTTATCGTTTGTTTAGGTTTGTTTAGCTATTATTGTCGCTTGTTTGGCCTTAGTTATTTTTAAAAACGCCCATTAGTCATTTTGAGTTAAAAACCATTGAAATCGATAGTTTACAGGACTCTACTGTATATTTAATTGAAAATCAATTCAGATTCAGACAAATGGAAATTCGCTTAGTCGGCAGGCTTGCTGCGGCGGAGGTATTTATAATTCTAAATCAACTAAGTCCAAACCATAAACAATCTATGGTATTTCAATGGTTTTTGCAGCAACTGATCTGGTTTTTAGCTCAAAATGACCAATGGGAGCTGCTGGTGTGAAGCTCGCAGCGCCCATTTTATTTTTTGTTTTTAAAAGCAACTAAGGCCAAAAAAACGTCAATAATAGCTATAAATAAACCTAAACAACCGATTTGGGTTATTTTCAAGTTTATTTTAAATATGGGCGCTGTCAGCTTCACATACTGTATACTACTGTGTACTACACATTTTGTTTTGTTTCAGGATTGAAAAAATAATCACTAACAATTATAATGTTGTGAAGGATTTCAGAGGAAAAATATGTAAATCGTCTTATTCTCTCATTTAAAAATAAAATTGTCTCAGAATTTAACAAATGATTTTATTTTATTTCAAACATAATAATCCTGATGACCTTAAGCCTCGAGCCTAAGTCCTTAATCCATGCTTAAGCCCTTAACCCATGCTTTTTTGTTGTGTTAGCTCTAAGCCAAGTTTACAGCAGAGTTACAACACATGTAATAAACCAACTTTTAAACAAAAGTAAAAAAAAAAACCATCAAATGAACATTTGATAAATGTTTAGATTATGGTATTCTTATAGTATTAATAAAGGTAATGGTAATCTTTAAATACTATTTTCACAATTACTAATTAGAATAACAAAAATTAGGTTAATAATTACTTAATTTAGTATTTATAATGATGATATCTAACAAATACTGATATCTGTTAGTAAAGCTATGTGCACTTCGGCGGCACGGCACGGACGGCATTTTTTAAGAGGGCGCACTAGGGCGGCACGGCAAGGACGGACGGGACGGGACATCCGCACAACCGCATTTTTGGACAGTTGACAGTCTGTGAGCTAAAACTCGTGAGTAAAGATAGATGTAGATAAAGTGGTGATAGTAGGTTTAATTTTAGCAGAGGAAGAGGAGACAAGAAGGCGGAAGCAAAGATTTTGGATACACCACATAAACAGGAAAAGACTAAGTTTTGAAGAGTTCTACACCTTGTTTTCTGATCTTGTAGAGGATGATGTGTAAAACTTAACTGATTGTTTCATAATAGATTCTATTTCTGCCTACATATTTTCATGCCGGACGTTATCAAAATATTCCGGATGTCGCATGTTGTACAGTTTCGCTCTGATTGATTCAAATTGATTTTTGATCTGATTCAAAATTTAAGATTTTTGTGTGGGACGGGCCGTGCCCATTGCTAGTATTTGTTTTAAGTTGCGCCATAGATTCTTATTAGTCAAAATTCAGCGGGGAAAAAATGTTATATCTAACAACATCTTTTCTCTTTTTAGGAATAATTTTACGGGTTTTAAAATTATGACCATATGGTAATGTATATCTGTATATCAGTGACTGATACTATAACTGAATTTAAAATGTACAAAAAAAATTTCCCCATAAAAAACTAAATATTTATTAAGACAAGCATCAGATTTGGATTTTACAACAGGACAATAAGTCTACTTGAAGTGTTTTGTAATTAATTTTAATTGTAAATAAATATTTAACGAAAAATAAAATTATAATTTATATAATTTATTATTTTTTTTAATAATGCATTAGTCAGTTGTAACAAAGAATAAAAAAGGTTTTCATTGGTTGTAACTTGTGTGTGTGTGTGTGTGTGAGTGTGTCAAAAACCATTTTATTCAACACTTCAATAGGTAGTTACTTACAATCTTTACATAACAATCCAATCATTATTGTTACAGTACACTCTAAAAAACATACATGTATTGATAGTTCCTAAAACCTTATAAATTAAATAACTTAAGTAGAGAAAGTACAATTAGCTACATGTGAAAACTATGAAGAATTTTCTTGTTATTTGATCAGCCTTTGTGGTTCCACATTTGCATATAATTTATTATGGTTCCTGTAGAAAAATCTGAAGGAAATTCCTTTGTTGTACATTTTCAGGCATACCTTTGTTTATTTTTGACACTTGATATATCTAAGTAGGTTATATCATATCATATCTTTATAGTTAATTAATTTTGAATATGTGGATTTGCTTTTGAGTAGGCTACTCATTTAACTACGTACATAATTCCTGTAAATGTTTTTGCAAACTTCAGGATTATTTTAAGTTAAACATTTTCAAGCCTGCCACTTGAAGTTAAATTAATAAGTAAAAACATGATAATGTCTGGAGTTTAAGTAACAATTTAAATAAACATTTATTTTATCCATGAGCCTTTTAAAATTTGGAGTTAATGTTATAAATTAAAAACCCTAACTGGGCTTTGGTTGGTAGCAAGAAATTTCGGAACTTAAATGTAAAAAACGCTAAGGAATTCAAAAGAGAGCCAAGAAAATAATGGGTCATAAAGAGCTCAATAGGGCTTTGAACTCCACAAAAGAAAACATAAAACTTCTCTCCAAACCTAGTGGCGCCTTGAAGGGAGGTGGGATATTCTTTTATGTAGGGGGGGGCGGGAAAATAAAAAAGGTATATTCATTTCTGAAGCTGAAATGAATGATCATTTTACGCATGCAAACTTTGATAAACATAATTTTTATGTGTTTTGGACTTGAAAAAAACATAACTGATAATAGTTGGCCCAATTAGTATAAAGATTTTATTTTAGTTTATACGGAAAATAAGGTATACGGCCCTTCATCTAAGCAATGTACACCTATCGTCATGGGCTCGTTAACTATTTCCTAATAAATTTAAAATTATGCGTAATAAATAGCATTAAAACATCCAGATTTAACTTTTTAAATTAATTTATTTTCAACTCAGCATTCTCTGATATGTCTTATATTTCATTAGTTAGTAATTACAATCAGGATTTAATTTGAGTTAAGATAAGGAAACTATAACCTAAAGGGGGGTCTACACGCAAGGATTTCGCGAACGTTTTACCTGCGCAGGTAAAACGTTGCAGTCAAGTCGTTGCAAAGAAATGCGTCCACACGGTACAGGTTTCAGCACCAACTTTTAGTGCAGTTTTGTGATAACTTTCAGTTTATGTGCATGTAATATGATGGAAGATGTGTTTTTGTGGTCGATTTCTGCAGCCAGTGTAACAAGAAAGCAAAGAAATAAGTCTGAGAGACGACGGCACCCACTGTGGTCAAGACGTCGGTTACTAAATAGACAACCAACTTCATAACAGTTTCTCTGTTCATGTTTGAATCTACTGCTTTGTATTTTTCAAAAGTATCTAGGTCTTTTTCTTATCACAGTCACTATACTCCTTACTCTTGACCCTCCACAAATTAAGGAAACTTCTGCACAGTTCGATGAATTCAACAATAAAATCACGGAAACATTGTTGAAGATCTGTGATTATAATAAAAAAACACACATATACCTCTGACGACAGCACGTGAAGACGGAGTTGAAACGGATGACAGTGTACACACGCAACGACTTGTCTGAAAACGTTGTCAAACTATGCTCTCCGCAATAGTTTTATCGCTCCGTCTTCCGTCTCCGCGCAGTTATAAAAAATGCACAGTTTTGCGGTATACACGCAACGATTTGACTGCAATGATTTACTTGCGCAGGTAAAACGTACGGTAAATCCTTGCGTGTAGACCGATTTCAAGTAGGTGGAGGATCCCAATCTTGGGTTGGCCTCGGGTCCTCTCTAATATTTAATAACAATTTAAACATAATATAAACTACCTAGCAAAATTACACACAGCTCTAGTAATTCCTTAGATCTTTCCTTGAACGACATTTTAAAATTTTAAAAGCATTTTTTATTAAGAGAGGATATAATACGTCCCCCTGATTACATGCATCGACGTATAAAACTAACTAACTAACTAACTAAGTTAGGTTTATACATCGATGATTACATGATGTCAATCAAGCTTATCCCATGAAGGAAGGCTCCATTATAACTATGATGACAGTACAATGTATCCAGTGAGTAATGGTTATAGCGTGTGTAATGTTGTATAGTGTTGTATATTGCTTATTGTTATTGTAGAGAGTTGAACAACCTCTGTACAGTATACTGGTATACATACAATCAATGACATTTATATACGTAGATTCCATAGATGACCATCAATACCAAAGTTTTTACTAGGCAAATTAAATGATTTGAGAAATAGAATCAGGAGTAGATTACATTACACTGTGTTGATTTTTTTGTAGTTGAATCTATGATAGTATTAAATACTGTTTAAATATAATTTACAGTATTTTTGTAACGAGTATCCTGTGTCATTCAATTCTCAGGCCGAATTGCTATCAGTCATCTAAAAAATGGTGTACTTGTACCTAAAAGCGTCAAATACCCTCTTTATATCCTTTTCCCTAGATGTTTTCAGATAAGTATAACTCAATTCTCATAATCTTTGTATATAAGCTCAAAACACACACATGATAATGGCGCATTCTACGATTTGCATATTGATGATACAATTTTCTGAATGAAAAATAATAGAATCTAATAATTCCAATAATCTAATAATATAATTTAAAATAAGACAAAAATCCACAAACAGTGTTCAGAGAGTTCAGGGACATTCTAAATTAATACAAGTAAATGGATAACAAAAATATTAATACAATCTCAATAACCAAACAACGATTTAATAACTGTGCATGACATATGTCATAAATAGTCAATTTGAAAAACATTTACAGACTTAATATTCAAATAAATAAAATTCATCTATAACACGTAAAAAAATAATATGAACCACTACACAGATTAGCCCTTCCTTTAAACCTAGTAACCCAGGCAAGCTACACACTTACCTATTAATAGGAAAGAATTTGCCTACGCTGTAAAACTTTTTAGCACACCAAAAATCCTTTGAGAACAACTTGAATCCCCTTTTACTGCCCCTTTACAACTGAGCTCTTCAGGAAGTGTATTGAGGAACTTTACTTCAGTGTTGTCTGTATGTTCTTCATGCATTTCCAAACTATCCAACCGAACACTGGATTTTTGAGTTTATTTTTATACATGAACGGGTTTAACCTATTCCACATATTTTTGGGGATTTTTAAAAGTTATTTACCATACTAATTTTGTAAAATGTATGTCCATTTATTTTGTTTCCATTTGTTTCCATTTCCATGTGGCAACTGTAAGAAAATTAAACGATTGCTTTACATATTGAATAGTTTTGACATGGTTACATTTAAAACGCTGTACCATTGATTACATGTTAAGAATTGTTTTTATTGATTCATACCTCGTTGAAAGGCGAGGGTAAAGGTAGTACACTAGTGCAGCATGTTCACACTGAACTGGAATCTACAGCTGTGATTTTCATCATAAAGCTATAAATTTAATTTTTCACGGTTTAATGTATAGTAGTTAAATTCAACGACACATTATAACTATTTGTTCATTCATATCTGTTTCTATATG